GTCTGTCTGTCCCATCCATCCATCCATCCATCCATCCATCCATCCATCCATCCGTCCGTCCGTCCGTCCGTCCGTCCGTCCGTCCGTCTGTCTGTCTGTCCTATCCTATCCTATCCATCCATTCATCTATACATCCATCTGTCTGTCTGTCTGTCCTATCCTATCCATCCATCCATCCATCCATCCATCCATCCATCCATCCGTCCGCCCTATCCTATCTATTTATCTATCCATCCATACATCATCCATCCATCCATCCATCTATCCATCTATCCATCTATCCATCCGTCCGTCCGTCCGTCCGTCCGTCCGTCCGTCCGTCCGTCCGTCCGTCCGTCCGTCCGTCCGTCCGTCCGTCCGTCCGTCCGTCCGTCCGTCCGTCTGTCTGTCTGTCCTATCCTATCTATCCATCTATCCATCCATACATCATCCATCCATCCATCCATCCATCCATCCATCCATCTATACATTTATTCATCTATCTATACATCCATCTGTCTGTCTGTCTGTCTATCTATACATCCATCCATTTATTCATCCATCCATCCATTTATTCATCCATCCATCCATCCATCCATCCATTTATTCATCCATCCATCCATCCATCCATCCATCCATTTATTCATCCATCCATTCATTTATTCATCAATCATCCATCCATCTTGTTCCAGGAGGTCCAGACCTCTCTTTCCACAGTCATCTCTTCCAGCTCCTTTGGGAGGACTCCAATGTGTTTCCAGACCAGCTGWGGGTCATAGTCTCTTCAGGGTCCATCCTCACCAGATGAACCACCTCAGCTGGTTCCTCTGTGGATCAGCAGCTCTAATCTGAGTCTCTCCTGGAYAACTGAACTAGAGTCCAGCTACCCTGCAGAGAAAACTCACCTGGACCTCAGATCTGGTTCTGTCAGTCACCACCCAGAGTTCAGACCATGAGTGAGGGTTGGAACGTAGACTGACAGCAACATCTTTGTGAGGTTCTGGCCCAAACTTTAGCAGGTATTTTTCTAAATCTTAAAACTGCAAGAAGAAAAAGAATCACTCAGGCCTTTGTTGTTGTCCTAACTTTGAGAGTTTGTTGTTCCGTTGAGCTCAGAAACCCACAGAGCTGAATATATTCTGGTTCCGGATGGGTCGTTGGGTCACTTTGTATTGATCCCAAGGCTGCCAGAACCTAATTACCTGCTTCAGGGTCTTATAGCCTGGTGGAGCTAACATTTTCATTGACTAAGCAGACATTCAGTAACAAGCAACCTGCCCTCGCCTCCTCACACACACTCACACACCGAACACACACACTTGAGTTTGGCCTTCATTAATCTGTGTACAAAACTGCTACGTACAGCGGAAATCCCCCTCCAAGCTTCTAACTCACAGGAAGTTCGTCCTTTTGCTTGAAGGTTATTCAGAGGCTATTTTAGGAACGGATTTCACTGATTAGAGGGAAAAATTGTGTTTTGGATTGCAYAGTGTGCAGACCTATGTAGACCCAAAGTTACAAGAAATGTATCATTGTGACAGTTTTKCTCAAGTTTTATTTTTATTTTTTGCCTCATCTAACAGATGAAACCAGCCCATCCAACGTGTGGGACTGTAAGAACCGAGGGGTTAATGGAACCCAGAAGGGTCAGATCGTCTGGAGGCTGGAGCCAGGGCCGTATTTTATGGAGCGTAGGTTTCCCTCTCCTAGAAGATTCTTAAATTAACAATTAAATCACTCGTTTGTTTATGACGTATTGAACATATGGATTAACTCCTGCCTTCTTCCTCCACAGCTGAGACTAAGATTTGTTTTAAATATTACCACGGAGTGAGCGGAGCGCTYAGAGCAGCGACCCCCTGCATCACTGTGAAGAATCCAGCAGTCCTGGTCTGTTTGTGTTAAATAATAAACGTTAAAACTAAGACAGAAGATTGCATTAAAGCATCTCGATTAGTTGTAATGGGAACCTCCACTCGTGACGTCGCGCATATTATTTACATACTTTATCTGCTGCTCTCTCAAATGATCGGACAATCACCGTAGATTATACAGACAGTGTTAATACTGTAACAAAAATTTCAATATATCCGACTTCAGAAAACCACAGGAAAGTTCAGTTGAAATGTTATCCAGAGAGTTAAGGTCTTCATTTACAATTAACATTTAATATTTAGATTTAATAATTAACATTTAGATTTACCATTTGACTTTTAGATATATCATTTGACATTTTGATTTAGCATTCATATTTACAATTTGACATTTAGATTTAACATTTGACATTTAGATTTAACATGTGACATTTAGATTTAACATTTGACATTTAGATTTAACATGTGACATTTAGATTTAACATTTGACATTTAGATTTAACATGTGACATTTAGATTTAACATTTGACATTTAGATTTAACATTTGACATTTAGATTTAACATGTGACATTTAGATTTAACATTTGACATTTAGATTTAACATGTGACATTTAGATTTAACATTTAGTACATTTAGATGTAACATTTAGGACATTTAGATTTAACATTTAGATTTACCATTGGACATTTAGATGTAACATTTGTAATTACAGTTTGACATTTAGAAATATTTTTGACATTTTAGATTTAACATTCATATTTACAATTTGACATTTAGATATATTTAACATTTAGATTTAACATTTAGTACATTTAAATGTAACATTTACGACATTTAGATTTAACATAGATTTACAATTTGACATTTAGATTTAGCATTCATATTTACAATTTGACATTTAGATTTAACATTCATATTTACAATTTGACATTTAGYTATATTTAACATTTAGATTTAACATTTAGTACATTTAGATGTAACATTTAGGACATTTAGATTTAACATTTAGATTTACAATTTGACATTTAGATATTTGACATTTAGATTTAACATTTTACATTTTTATTTAACTATTTAAATGTGCTAAAAGGTGACTTTAGAAAATCCACAGTAATATTTCTAAACATTGTTTGAAGCTAAATGTGACAAACTTTCTCTGTATATGTAAAGTCATATTATTGTTTGTCTTGTTTGAGTAAATAAATCTTCTGTGTTTAATGTTGTRATCTTGTTGTTGCAGGTGGAGGGTCTGGCAGAGCAGGTGGGTGTTGAGCATCCTCGGAAACTGATCAGCTTTACTTTAACGGGTGAGTTAAAACATTATGACATCAAGGCAACATGAAGTAAGAATAAGTGGATTTAGGCAAATATATATTTCACCCAAGCTAGAGAAAAACAAAAAGTTTAGACATTAGAAATCATTTCTGGAATGCTCTCTCTCTTGTTACAGATCTTCGAGCCACCGGCCTAAAAAAGGGCATGTTCTTTAACCCCGACCCTTATCTGAAAATGTCCATCCACCCAGGGAAGAGAAACATCTTCCCTGTCTTCAGCCACCACGGACAGGAGCGCCGGTCGGCCATCATCGCCAACACCATCAACCCTGTGTGGCACGGAGAGGTGACGCTCYTCGCTTCCATGATTACCTTTCATTTATCGATCAGCCAAACTGAGAGAACGTGTTTACCTGCCAACAGAAATACACATTTGTGGCGCTAATGACGGACATCCTCTACATCGAGGTGAAGGACAAGTTCGCAAAGAGCCGACCAATCATCAAACGCTTCCTCGGTCAGCTCGCCATCCCCGTGCAGCGGCTTATCGAAAAAATACCAGGGTATGTGGCAAAGCAACAAGCTAACTTTAGCATGTCTGCAAGCTAACCCTAGAAAGTCTACAAGCAAACTTTAGCAAGTTGTCAAGCTAACTGTAGCAAGATTACAAGTTAAACTTAACACGTCTACAACTAACCCCAGCTACGCTAACTTTAGCATGTCTGCAAGCTAAGCCTAGAAAGTCTACAAGCAAACTTTAGCAAGTCGTCAAGCTAACTGTAGCAAGCTTACAAGTTAAACTTAACACGTCTACAACTAACCCCAGCTACGCTAACTTTAGCATGTCTGCAAGCTAAGCCTAGAAAGTCTACAAGCAAACTTTAGCAAGTCGTCAAGCTAACTGTAGCAAGCTTACAAGTTAAACTTAACACGTCTACAACTAACCCCAGCTACGCTAACTTTAGCATGTCTGCAAGCTAAGCCTAGAAAGTTTACAAGCAAACTTTAGCAAGTCTACAATCTAACCCCAGCTATGCTAACTTTAGCATGTCTACAAGCTAACCCTAGCAAGCCTACAAGCTAACCATTGGCAAGGCTACAAGCTAACCGTAGTAAGCCAACAATGTTTTATCATATCTACAACCTAACCCTAGCAGGCCTATAAGTTAACCTTAACTTGTCTGCAAGCTAATACAAGCCAGCCAACAAACTAACTTAACATGACTACAAGCTAACCATAGCAAGTTAATTTTAACWTTTATGCAAGCTAGCCWAGCAAGCTAACTTTAGCATGTTGACAAGCTAATCTAACATGTCTACAAGCTAACCCTAGCAAACATAAAAGCTACATTTAGAAAGTCTACAGGCTAACCCTAGAAAGCGTACAAGCTAAACTTAGCAAGCTAACAAGCTAACCTAACATGTATACAGTTTAACCCTAGCATGCCTACAAGCTAACTTAAGCATGTGTACAAGCTATCAGAAAATGTCCTGCTTCCTTTTTCAGAGTGCAGCCTGTGAGTTTCTCCTTGTCTCGACGCTTGCCAACCGAACATGTGAGCGGTCACCTGCAGTTTAAAGTCGAGCTAACCTCGACCGGACCCGACGGTACACCTGTGTACGATTTATAAGTCTATCATTTTCTTTGTTTTCCTTTAATATTCACCCCCATCTACCTGCTGTAGGTGCCTCTCCTGACTCCATCATTGGTATTTCATCCTTGAATGGAGCTCCAGGAACGCCATCCGACGACGAGGACTTGCCTCATCCCCTTCCAGGCGTGGTKTCCGCAGGTGCTTCTCCAACCGGCTCCCAGGGCTCTCAGGGCATGTGGGAAGGCGGAGCCACAGCTTTGCCAGAAAAAGACCTGCCTGTCGTTAGYGCGGGGGCCAGGTTTGTTCAGCCTGTGATGTTCTCTGATCAGACGATGCTTCAGAGGTCCCTCAGTGAGGGGCTGGACGCTATRGAAGCTCCCAAAGGTCCGGGTGAGAGACCTCTGGGTGCTGCCTCGCCTAAACTGTGCTCCAGCTTCCCGACGCACACGAGGCTGAGCGACATGCTGCACATCGACTCCGACGAGGACGAGGAGAGGTCTGGGATGAACGACGTTCCTCCCATACCTTTGTCCCCACTGCTGCTGAACGGAGAATCTCTGGACGTCTGTGGTCCCGATGAAGACGACCTGATTCCTGATCAGCCAGAGTGCTCGGTGCAAGAGGAGGAGACAGAGATGGATGAAGTTCCACCAGAGGCAGAGGTGGACCCAGATCTAGAACCTGATCTTGACTTGGAGGATGTCCTGGAGCAGGATGTGTTCCTCGAGGCGGAGGAGGAGGTTCCAGTCACTGAGGTCGCTACACATCTTGCTTTGGGTGCAGCAGCAGCTGAACAGGGAAGAGCGGCTGGAGAGGAGGTCTCATCAGACATTAACACCTGCTCCATGGTAACGGCACCTCAGACTGTGTTTTCATCATCCGAGAGCTGCCCCATCACCCTGACCTCTGCTACGGTGAGTTTAATTCTGATTGGGTCTTGATACAATACTTTAAATATTAACCTTACTGAAACTAACCCTTAGCCTATAGGCTAACCTTGGCCTGTCTATAAGATAATTCAAGCAAACACGCAAGCTAAACTTACAGTATCTACAAGGTAACACTAGCAAGCGAACAAGCTAACTTTAGCATGTGTTCAAGCTAACTTTAATATGTCAACAAGATAATGTTGTGATGTCTACAAACTAACAAGCCAACAAGCTAACTATAGCTTTCTACAAGCTAACTCTAGCAAATCTGCAAGCTAACTTTGGCATGTCTACAAGCTAACCCTAGCAAGCCAACATGCTAACTTTGGCATGTCTACAAGGTAATCCTAGCAAAACAACAAACTAACTTTAGCGTGTGTACAAGCTAACTTTATCATGTCTCCAATCTAATGTTGTGATGTCTAGAAACTAACCCTAGAAAGCCAACAAGCTAACTATAGCATGTCTACAAGCTAACCTTGGCATAGCTAACCCAATTAAACATACAAGGTAAAGTTAGAATGTCTACAAGCTATCTTTAGCATGTCTACAAGGCAGCTCTAGCAAGCCAACAAGCTAACTTTAGCATGTCTACAAGCTAACTCTAGCAAGCCAACAAGCTAACTTTAGCATGTCTACAAGCTAACTCTAGCAAGCCAACAAGCTAACTTTAGCATGTCTACAAGGTAACTCTAGCAAGCCAACAAGCTAACTTTAGCATATCTACAAGGTAACCCTAGCAAGCCAACAAGCTGACTTTAGCGTGTCTACAAGGTAACCCTAGCAAGCAAACAATCTAACTTTAGCATTTCTACAAGGTAACCCTAGCAAGCCAACAAGCTAACTTTAGCATTTCTACAAGGTAACCCTAGCGAGCCAACAAGCTAACTTTAGCATGTCTACAAGGTAACCCTAGCAAGCAAACAATCTAACTTTAGCATTTCTACAAGCTAACTCTAGCAAGCCAACAAGCTAACTTTAGCATGTCTACAAGGTAACCCTAGCAAGCCAACAAGCTAACTTTAGCATGTCTACAAGGTAACCCTAGCAAGCCAACAAGCTAACTTTAGCGCGTGTACAAGCTAACTCTAGCAAACCTAAAAGCTAACTTTAGCATGTCTACAAGCTAACTCTAGCAAACCTAAAAGCTAACTTTTGCATGTCTATAAGCAAATCCTAGCTAATCTAATAACTGACGTTTGCAAAAACATAAAAAAAAATAAATACTTGTCTGAATTTCATGTAGGAAGCAAAGGAAGGAGCAATGACTGCCATAGATCCAGGGGGGGATGGAGACTCGGGCCCCCCTCCGAACGCTCAGACTATAGATGAAGACGATGATGACAGAGGTGGTGGCGTACGAGCAGAAGCCACCGAGGCTGAAGGAGAAGCTCCAGCTCCCAGCGAGCATGAGGAGATGGAGGAGCTCATCGTAAGGAGGCTGAGCCTGCAGGCGACAGGGGGAGGGGCTGAGGAACCAGAAGGGGAGGAGACAAAAACTCCAGAGGAGGCGGGGCCTATCAATACAGAACAGGAAACGGACAGAGATGAAGGTAGAAACATTACATTTCCTGGTGTTTCAGATGGATTAGTTTGGTTTTAGTTAAAGGTGACCTGAGTGGTAACCTGTACTGTTTTGTCTGCTGAAGTTAGCGCTAATAAGCTAACCCTAGTAAACGTACAAGCTAACCGTAGCAAATCTACAAGCTAACTGTAGCAAATTTACAAGGTTGCGTCAAGAAATCTACAGGTTAACCCTAGCACACTTGTGACAAGATTTAAAAGGGATTACGTTAATAAATTAGTAATAATTTATGAAATAGGACTTAAATCACCTGGACATTTGTTCTTTTTGTGTTTAGGAGCTCACGTTAACGGCCATCCTGTACGTTCTCTTCCTTCGGTGCGTCATGACATCCATCGGTACCAGCGTGTGGACGAACCGCTGCCTCCCAGTGAGTGTGTGTGTCTGCATGAAGCCTTGGCCTGTCGTTGTTGTGTGTCTTTATTTTAATCTGTGTTGTGGTAACAGAGCAGACGGTGGGGAGTCCTGGATGGAGGAAAAATAAAATGATTGTTTTGATTCTCTGGTTTTGTTTGTCCGGTTCTGTGAGCCAGAGGTCTCTGACATGAGTTGTCTCCTCTCAGACTGGGAGGCCCGCATCGACAGCCACGGCAGGATCTTCTTTGTGGACCACGTGAACAGGACCACCACATGGCAGCGTCCCACTGGGCCCCCCGCCCCCCAGGGCCTGACCCGCTCCAACTCCATTCAGCAGATGGAGCAGCTCAACCGCAGGTGGGTTTCAGAACCAGAACTCTCAAAAACTGACCAGCAGGTGACTTTTAGTTTTGTTGAATCAAATGTTTTTCTTTTATTTTAATTACTTTTAGCTTTTATGCCTTTGTTTAGCTAAATTTAGGTTTTGATGATTTTAACAGCTAGCTACAGTTTAACTGCTTTTAGGTTTTAGCTAAAGTTTTGATCTTTTTAGCTACAGTTTTGCTAATTATAGTATTTAAGCTACCAGTTGCTATTATTAAATTRTAGCTGCAGTTTTGGTAATTTTTTTATTTAAGTTTAATAATTCAAGTTTAGCTTCTTTAATCAATTTCAGCCTTCATTCATCTCTCAATGCATTTTTACAATAAAAGCTTTTATAGTTTGTTTATTTTTGAGAGAACAGATGTTTGATTTTGGCTGTTTGTGCTGGATGATTGATTTCAGCTGTTTTGCTGGATGTTTGATTTCAGCTGTTTTGCTGGATGATTGATTTCAGCTGTTTGTGCTGGATGTTTGATTTCAGCTGTTTTGCTGGATGTTTGATTTCAGCTGTTTTGCTGGATGTTTGATTTTGGCTGTCTGTGCTGATGTTTGATTTCGGCTGTTTGTGCTGATGTTTGATTTTGGCTGTTTGTGCTGGATGTTTGATTTTGGCTGTTTGTGCTGGATGTTTGATTTCGGCTGTTTGTGCTGATGTTTGATTTTGGCTGTTTGTGCTGGATGTTTGATTTCGGCTGTTTGTGCTGGATGTTTGATTTCGGCTGTTTGTGCTGGATGTTTGATTTCGGCTGTTTGTGCTGATGTTTGATTTTGGCTGTTTGTGCTGGATGTTTGATTTCGGCTGTTTTGCTGGATGTTTGATTTCAGCTGTTTTGCTGGATGTTTGATTTCGGCTGTTTTGCTGGATGTTTGATTTCAGCTGTTTTGCTGGATGTTTGATTTCAGCTGTTTGTGCTGGATGTTTGATTTTGGCTGTTTTGCTGGATGTTTGATTTCGGCTGTTTTGCTGGATGTTTGATTTCAGCTGTTTGTGCTGGATGTTTGATTTCAGCTGTTTGTGCTGGATGTTTGATTTCGGCTGTTTTGCTGGATGTTTGATTTCGGCTGTTTTGCTGGATGTTTGATTTCGGCTGTTTTGCTGGATGTTTGATTTCGGCTGTTTTGCTGGATGTTTAATTTCGGCTGGTTGTGCTGGATGTTTGATTTCAGCTGTTTTGCGGATGTTTGATTTCAGCTGTTTTGCTGGATGTTTGATTTCGGCTGTTTGTGCTGGATGTTTGATTTCGGCTGTTGTGCTGGATGTTTGATTTCGGCTGTTTTGATTTCAGCTGTTTTTCTGGATGTTTGATTTCGGCTGTTTGAGCAGAATTAGTGACAGTTTCAGGATGATTAAGTTTTTTTCCATCTTGAGAGCCTGATCTTTTGGTAGATGGGCGGAGCCTCTTCTACCTGCTGCAGAAGGTAAAGGCACCTGGTTAAAACTCCAGCTGGTTTTTTCTCAGGTACCAGAGCATCAGGAGGACCATCACGAACAGCGACCGCTCTGAGGAGAGCTCCACGGACCTCCGGTCAGAACCGGAGGGTGACCTGACGCCTCACTCTGTCTCAGGTGAGTCTCCTGAACAGGAACCTGCAGCTGCTGTGAGGAACCTTCCTCGCCGTCTGACGACACGTGTTGTTGCAGAGTACCGCAGGGACAGCTCTGGCGCTCACTCCGGCGGTCGCTCCAGGCTCTCCCTGCTGCTCCAGTCGCCCAGCGCCAAGTTCCTGTGCAGCCCGGACTTCTTCACCATGCTGCATTCAAACCCCGTCAGTCTCTAAACCCTGAACCTCGTTCTGTTCGAACGTCTCAAAGTTTCTGAAACGTTGACCTTCTCTGTCCAGAGTGCCTACCGCATGTTTACGAGCAACACCTGCCTGAAGCACATGATCAGCAAGGTGCGTCGAGACGCCTACTACTTCGAGCGCTACCAGCACAACCGCGACCTGGTCACCTTCCTCAACATGTTCTCCAACAAGCAGCTGGAGCTGCCCCGGGGCTGGGAGATGAAGCACGACCACACCGGGAAGGTGGGTTTTCACCGGAGCGCCGGACGCTTCGGTCCCATCCTGGAAGGTTTCTGATCTGAGTGCGTTCTTCTCCACCCACCAGCCCTTCTTCGTGGATCACAACTGTCGATCCACCACCTTCATCGACCCGCGGCTGCCCCTGCAGAGCTCCCGCTCCACCGGGCTGCTGGCCCATCGCCAACACCTGAGCCGCCAGCGCAGCCACAGCGCCGGAGAGGTGAGCAATGACCCGACCAGGGTTCTGGGTCTTTAGGACCCTCACAGGGTTTCAGGCTCAACCTTTCTTTTTCTCACAGGTGGTGGACGACTCGCGTCAAACCAACCCGCCCTTGACGCCCCGCCCCTCCAGCACCTTCAGCGGCTCCAGTCGAAGCCCGTACCACGACGTGGTTCCTGTCGGTAAGCCCGCCAGCGGCAGGTTTGGTCACACAGATCCAGAACTGTCTCCTAAAAATGTCCTTTTTTCCTTCAGCCTACAACGACAAGATCGTGGCCTTTCTACGGCAGCCCAACATCTTTGAGATCCTGCAGGAGAGGCAGCCGGAGCTCGCCAGGAACCACTCACTCAAGTAGGTCTTTTCTTCTTCTTCTTGTGTTTTATTCTTTACCCTCTCCTTCACCCGTAGTGCCTCCTCCTCCTCCTCCTCGTCATCATCATCATCATCATCATCATCATCATCATCATCATCATCATCATCCAGCACCAACACTTTAATCCTGATAGATTGGAATAGCTTTTAATTCTAATCTAAATTTATAGCTAGTCCAAGCTATTGGCTAATCTGAGCTAATAACTAGTCGGAGGTAATGGTTAGATTAAGATAATGACTAGTCTGAACTACTGCTAATCTGAGCTAATGACTAGTCTAAGATATTGGCTAATCTGAGCTAATGACTAGTCTAAGATATTGACTAATCTGAGCTAATGACTAGTCTAAGATATTGACTAATCTGAGCTAATGACTAGTCTAAGATGTTGACTAATCTGAGTTGATGACTAGTCTAAACTATTGGCTAATCTGAGCTAATGACTAGTCTAAGATGTTGACTAATCTGAGCTAATGACTAGTCTAAGATATTGGCTAATCTGAGTTGATGACTATTCTGAACTATTGGCTAATCTGAGATAATGACTAGTCTAAGATATTGACTAACATGAGCTAATGACTAGTTTAAACTATTGGCTAATCTGAGCTAATAACTAGTCTGAGGTAATGGTTAGTTTAAGATAATGACTAGTCTGAACTGTTGACTAATCTGAGCTAATAACTAGTCTGAGGTAATGGTTAGTTTAAGATAATGACTAGTCTAAACTAATGGCTCGTCTGAGCTAATGACTAGTCTAAGATATTGGCTAGTCTGAGTTGATGACTAGTCTAAACTATTGGCTAATCTGAGCTAATGACTATTCTGAACTATTGGCTAATCTGAGATAATGACTAGTCTAAGATATTGACTAACCTGAGCTAATGACTAGTCTAAACTACTGGCTAATCTGAGCTAATAACTAGTCTGAGGTAATGGTTAGTTTAAGATAATGACTAGTCTGAACTATTGGCCAATCCGAGCTAATGACTAGTCTGAGCTAATTTCTAATCTGAGCTAATGACCAGTCTAAACTAATGGCAAATTGAAGCTAATGGCTCGTCTGAGCTAATTTCTAATCTGAGCTAATGACCAGTCTGAGCTAATGGCTTATCTGAGCTAATAACTAGTCTGAACTAATGGCTAGTCTAAGATTACTGGTCTGAGCTAATGGCTGATTTGAACTAACAACTGTCCTGAGCTAAAGGCTAATCTGGGTTAATGGATAGTCTGCGTTTATGGCTAATCCTAGATAATTGTATAAGGTAAAGTCAAATTCAAGGTAATGACTAATGTGAGCTAGTTGCTAATCTGAGATAATGCCTAGTCTGGGACAATGGGTTATCCAAACTAATAGCAAAATTAAGCTAATGGCTAGTTTGGCTAATTTCTAACCTGAACTAAAGACTGGTTCAAGCTAATAGCTAATCTGAGCTAACAGGTTTTTGTGTTTTATTGTTTCCTGCAGAACGTTGGTTACGTATTGTAACCCCAGATTCTATGAGTGTAAGCGCAGCCCTCTAAGGCTATCGCAGATGGGTACCCCCGTGCGCGTACGCGCATTCTGAAGAGCCGATAGTCCACGCCCACGTGACGTGGGCCTCACCTCGGTCCGTATAAAAGGGGAGGACGGACCTGAGTTCAGCTCCCAATAGCTTACTTTTTCTTCAGCTACGGACGCCGGTGAGGCCCCGATCCTTAGAGGGCTGCGCTTACACTCATAGAATCTGGGGTTACAATACGTAACCAACGTTCTATTTCGTGTAA